CTCTGGTCCCCTTGAATACCATCACTCTGGGGGCTGGGGCTTCAACACCTGAACTGGGCTGAGGAGCACAAACTTTTCAATCCATAGCAGTCACTCCTGACTCTGAAGTAAGTGGAGGTAAACAGCGAAGGTAGGATTTGAACTCCCTGTTAGTCCTGTTAATCTCTGCTCCTCTTCAGCAGGCCCACTGCCGGTGATACTAGGGAGAGTGGGGAGCTGCACCTGGGACCTGAGACCATGCAGGAAAGAAAGGGTGGCCTGCCCTCGCCCGAAGCCGACCAGCCAGCAGGAAGCTGGGTCGGGAGATGAATCTGGACAGACAGGGCCTGGCCCTCATGCCATCCTCAGGCTTCACCTCCCTGAGCCAAGGGCTCCAGCAGGCTAATTCGGGCTTCCTCACGCCGAGGCCTGACAGTGGCATGAGAGGACTAGCTGCACGGGCAGGGACTTCCCCGGCCTCCGCCGACGTAGGTCTGTTAACACTCCACAGGCACTCACCATCACACAACCAAGCTGAAATGTAGGTTTGGGAATCTGGACCTTACTTCCTAATGGCTGCATTGTCGAGAGTCCGCACAGAGGCATGGAGAGCACCTGGGCCTATTCTCCGTACAACCTACCAGTGTGATTGCAAAAATGAGTGGATGGCGGGATGCAAAGGCAGAAAGGGAAGAACCAAAAGGCCATGTCCAAGCTGAGCCCTGGAGCTCCATCTGACCTCAGCACCTCTTCTTTTGCCCTCTTCGTGGCAAGGGGCAGAATGGACAGCAAAGTCTTCTGCTGAGATGAAGGGACCCGAAAGAAGCAAGCAGTCTGGGTGCTCAGTTGAGCCCCGGCCTCTGGCAAACTCTCCTCTGTGTGGCCCAACCCAGCAGGGCCGGAGGGAGAAGCAGGCCGCGTGGGCAGCCCAGCCCTCAGCCCCAGACCATGGCCTCCGCCTCCTGTCCACGCAGTTCCTCTGCCCATGGGAGCACTGTTCCAAGCCCCTACCGTGTCCCTCATGATGCCGATGCCGGGGAGTGTAATTGCTGTAGTGATTACTTACAGCCATTACATTAAGTTTTTAAATGTTCCCTTCACATTGAACAATTTTTTTCTCAAAGTCAACAGCTGGTTCACAGCTTGAATGCAACCGTTAGGATAAATTAAATAAAAAGGGTAATAAAATCACAGTCTAAATTTAATTTCTGAAGAGTGCATAGGCGCCAAAAAAGGGGGGGGCATTAAAAATGTCTTTAAAATACAGCCAGAAAGGCAGAAGTTAATTCGCTCCCCCAGGACAGCAGCCAACGGACACTCTGTCACAATTAACCACATAACTGCCCTGGTGTAGACAAACCCCAGCTCACCCCTGAGGTTCTGCGTGAGATGGGGTTGCTGATCGGGACTTGTCTTCGAAGGTGTCCCCACAAACAGGCTCAGGAAAAAGCTCCTGTCCCCTGAAACCAAGTGACAAGAAAGCTGAGGGCCAGGCAGACCTCTCTGCCAGGAGCTGCCTGGGGCCAAGTCCCTGAAGGAACAGAAAGGTCAGGCTTCTTTGCAGATGCTCCTATGGTTGCAAAAGTCAGCTCTGGAGCACCTGCGGCCAAAGGCAATGTGTTTGGGACCCACCTAAAACGATCCTCAGGAAGCTCCCCCCAGGACCTCGGACTCAGCCCACACTGGCCTTTATTTGCTCTGTGACTCTGCAGGTGATTGGCTCAAGCCTCTGAGCCCCAGCTCTAAGCCTGGTTCCTCTTTTGTAAAGGGAACTCATTCTTTCCTTTATTCGTGACATATTTGCTGAACATCTGCCCAGGTGCCCAGGGACAGCAGCAAGCCAGCCAAATGGTAATCCCTGCCTGCAGGGACAGGCAGCCTGGTGGTGGAGAATGAATGAGATCGGGAGGTGATGGGTACAGAAAGGGAGAAAATAACAAGTGCTGTGGGGAAAATAAAGTAGGGAATAAGGGCTTCAAATGACAGGGACAGACTCACTGACCAGAAGAGACTGGAAGGAAGACCTGAAAGAAGGCAGGGAACCAGCCATGGGCAATCTGGACAAAGAGTGTGGAGACAAAGGAAATGTGCAAAGGCCCTAGGCTAGTCGTCAAAGAATAGCAAGGAGACTGGTGTGCCCAGGGCACAGTGAGCAGGGAGACATGGGACAAGAAAGCTCAGGGATATGCCAATCCTTCTGTCTGTGGTTCACTTGCCATGGTCTTAGTTACCTGTGGTCAACTGAGGCCTGAAAACATTAAAGTGAAAATTACAGAAATAAACAATACATAAGTCTGAAGCCACACACTATTCTAAGTACCACAGTAAAATCTAATTCCAATCCATGCCGTTCCCACTCAGGACATGAATCATCCTCTGTCCAGTGTATCCACACTGTGTATGCTACACATCTGTTAGTCACTTAGTAGTCTGCTCAGATATCAGATCGACAGTTGTGGTTTCATAGTACAGGTGCTAATTAACCTTTACTTTACTTCATAATAGCCACAAAGCACAAGAGAGGGGTACAAAGGAGACACCAGGGCATAAAAAGACAGGTTAGCTCTGGCACCATGTGGCAGCCCTTCAGGGCGGGTAGGGTTAAAGACACAGTGCTCAGTTCCACGGTGTTGGCATCCACTAGAGTCTAACGTATCAGTGGGGACTTTATAAGAAGGCCCAATTCAAAAAGCTCACTCATTAATTCAGCTGAATGCTTACCGCACATCAGAGGGCTATTGTGAGGATTCAATCAAGAAATAAAGTAAGGCCAGCTGCTGGCACACAGTAAGCACTCAACAAACATTCACTCAGAGGGGTGGATGCCCCAGCATCCCGGGATAGGACACAGACAGTCTTCAGGAGAACTGGGTCTTTCCTCCACTTTCTCCCCTGGGTGAAAATGCAGCCTAACTGCCAGAGACTGGTTTCAGAGTCCTCAGAGCCCAACGTTCCCCTTAGCAGCAGTGCCCAGATTGTGAAGTTGAGTTCCTCCTGGCTGCCGGCCCACCTGCAGCATCTAGGCCACAGTGAGATGCTGCTCCTCCTCAGCTGTGTGGAAAGGGGTGCAGGAAGGGGACCCCACGCAGGGGGCTGGGAAAGTCACAGCAAACGTACAGAATTTGCTCTTGTTCCGGGAGCCCACCTTTGGGCAGCCTTGGCTAAAGAACGGACCACTTATAGTACTTGAGCGTGTGTGTGTGTGTGTGTGTGTGTGTGTGTGTGTGTGTGTGTGTGTGTGTTTCTCACGTGTGTGTGTGTGTGTGTGTGTGTGTGTGTGTGTGTGTGTGTGTGTGTGTTTCTCTCTCCAGATCTGTAGCCCATTTGCAACCATGATCTCTCGTCACACCCTGGCCTCGGCATCCTTCCCTCACTCACCAGGGTGGCCACCAGAGGGTGCCATTGCTTCCCTTCCCCTCCACCCTCCATCCCCATACTGAGTCTTACTTAGCCTGGGGCCATGGTTGAGACCCTCAAGGGCTCAAATCTTCACCTCTATCAGCATTCAATCCCTACTCCGCATGTCCTCCCCTATTCTCTCTCAATTCTCATGCCCGGAAGTCCTGGACTTCCAGGGCCGGTGCGATAAGAGGTAAGCTGGGATCTCCTCCTGCTTCACGGCAAGTTTCTCCCTGGAAAAGCCTGTGGTGGGTCCTTCAGACCAGTTCTTCCACATAGGCACAGGAACAAGCACTTTTGTTTTCCATTAGTGCCCCCAGAGGCTGTCTTTCCTCACCTGGGTTATGTGACTTGAACCCAAGAGTCTCACGTATTCTCCTCCTTTGAGACGCAGCAGGGATGAGACTCCCTGCTGTCCTGCTCCACCGTGGACGGTGGTGTAGGGAAGATCATGGAGGGGAGCACTGCTCACACTCGTTAGAGCATGGGAAGCACTTGAGATGTTTTTAAAATGCAACTTCAATGCCATAGTTCTGGAAAGAGACCTGACGACCTCTATTTTTAAGATGCTCCTGGGTGCTGCTAACCCAGCTGGTCTAGGGACCCCACTTATGTCTCAGTTACTTTCTTGTTGCTGGGACAGAATACAGCACATCAACAAGTTAAAGGAAGAAAGGCTTATTTTAGCTCTCAGTCTGTAGAGGTGCCAGCCCATAGCTGACTGCTGCTCAGGCAATGAGGCACGGTAGAGAAGAAACAGTGCATGGCATGGCAGACAGGAAGCAGCAAACAGCAGGCCTCCCTTTCCCTTTTTTTTTTCCATTGAGGCTACAAGCCCATTGGTTGGTGCCACCCAAACCTAGGGTGGGCCTTTCCATCTTCCACACCCAGAACTACGATAAACCAATCAGTCGACTAATCCAGTCATCACAAGCCCATAATCCAATTATCCCACACCCATGATTCAGCCTCCTCCCCAAAGCCCCACCTATGAGCACATGAGGTTTTTCAGGGACATCTAGATATAAGCCATAACGGAGAGGAAGGATAGGGACATTTTAAGTGCAATCTCCATCCTGGTGGCTGTCACAATAGCCCCTTTCCCCTTCGGGACAGTTATACACTGAAGAACCACTTATTAAACAACAGAATATTCGAGACAACCCAGGTATCCATGTATAGGAGAGTGGCTAAACCCACAAATGTTTCTTGGTTTACTATGGGGTGGCCTCTGAATCAACCTAGAGTAATCTGGGAATATCATAAGTAGCAGGCGCATCTAATGCACTTAACCAACAGAACTTCCTAGCTTAGCAACACAGTACGTGGCTGACTGAGCTACAGCTCACTGCACCTGCCCAGCATCTTGAGATGCTGGATATCATGAGCCCAGGACAAGGCCAGAAGTCAAAACTCAAAGAATGAATGCACGTCACTCTCACACCATCACTAAGTGAGAGCCCTGCATGGAGGTCGTCCGCGAACCTGTACAGTGGGTGGTTCACTGTGTGTGTTCAATGACCAGCTCTGAGCAGAGGCGCCTCACATGAGAAGCATCCCCAGCACGTCCCACTGCAAGCGCCCTTTGCAAAAGAGCGCACTCCAACACCCAAGGTGCTTACCATCCACGTCGGAGCCTCCTAAAGTCCCTGTTAAAGATTCAGAATCCTGCGTCCAGCTGAGAGTCTGGGAAGGGCAGGACTCCACTCGCTATTTTCAGCGCCTTGGCTAATTCTTATGCACACTGGGGCTGGAAAATCTCTGCATTTGGAGCCAGGTTCTATGGAAATGGGAGAAAAGATGCCTTTCATGCCTTTCCAGTAAGCCTAAAGCAGTGAGAAAAAAAAGGAAAAAAGACACCAATTAATTTTTCAATAATTCACGTTGCTCCCTAGAATTACTCTGAATCAGCGGTGATTTTGTTAAAGAGAATCCTTCCTTGTCGTAGGTACTTTAGCTACTGCTAATATCAAATGATCATGATCAGCCTCACTTTTGATTGCAGCCCCCTCTGGGAGGCCAGTATCAGGATGTGAGCCTTCCCAGCTTAGAAACCTCTGTCCACCCAGCCTTGTCCAGAACCCTAAAACGGTGTATCTCATTTTATGCAAATTTGTATTATGTGACTTGGAAACCAGGCAATTGAAAAATATTAATAAAGACTTGCCCGTATGCTCCAATTTTGAAATAATACAGATCTTGCTTTACATTTATCCCTCTGGGAAATTTAGTCGCGAATAATGCATAGCTTCAGGAATGAATCCCTGGCACAAATTTGATAAAAGCTGATCTGCTCAATGGGGAGCCGGGGAGGGGCTCACCTGTTAACCCTGCCTTCCTCCTCTTCCCATTTTCCCACAGGAACCCACGCCTGCTCAGGTGCATGTTCCTCTCCTTTTTTTAGCCAAGTTGGTTTGTGTTTTGTTTTGCTTGTAGTGCTGAGGATGGAACCCCAGGCTTCAAATGTGCTAGGCAAGTGTCTGACCGCTGAACTACACACCCAGTCCTTCGGCTGAGATCTCTTGAACCACACACTCTGCCCAGACCTGAACAGTCATCCGCACCACACACATCCACAAAGCCCCTACTGTGTGCCCTTACCACGGGGTGGCATGTCACGGTGAGGGGGACACCTGTGCCCTCACGGAGTCCACATGCTGCTCTAATTGTTCCGATAACCCAAGGAATCGGTACCATCACTGTTCCCATCTCAAAATGAGGACTCCCAGGCTCAATCTGAAGTCACTTCACAAGTTGCGCAGAAGGTAAATTTGAACCCCAGCTATGTCATTCCTAAGCTTGACAACTACCCCATCTGCTGGGAGAGGAAGCAAGTGTTTGGGAATCCCAGACCCTAACCATATGCTGTGTCCTCTCCGTGAAGCAGCCACTTCCTCTGGGAGATGCGTGCGCGGCCCACACCTACGTGGCCAGTCTTGGGAGAGAGAGCCACGCTCACACCTCATTGGCCATGCCTGTGTCACATGACTGCCCTCCCTTCAAGGGAGCCAGGGAGGATGCTGGCTGAGTGCCCGGCTGTTTCCTCCCCCCAGCTCACTGTGGTCTCAGGAAGGGGAAGTGGAGACTAGGTGGTCACAGAGAGGAAGCCCGAGGAGGGGTCTTGAGGAATGAGTGAACATCCCAGAGGGACACGCATGTAGAGAAAGGTGAAAGGAGCAGAGTAGTTAAAACGTCAGAGACAGGACAAAGGGTGTGGCATCCTCAGAGACCCAGAGAAGGGACAGGGCAGCTGGAAGCTGGACAGGAAGATAAGGCTTTGAGCACTGCTCTGAAGAACCGTCCCCAGAAGCACCTCTCACTCCTGGACTCCCAGACTCCCAGGACTGCACAGGAAGGGAAACACGCTTGTCCCCTGCTGGCCACACACAGGCTTAGCGCGTGGACAGGGCAGCACACCCCCCTGTGGCATGTTTCGAGCTACTACAAGCTAAGCCCCTTCATTTATCAAAGCAAGGGCTTCCTCCCTGTAAGACTCCAGGTTCTATGGTGCTTTACACTTCGCTTCGCCTCTGCAAAACCAGCTTCCGCGTCGGTGTAGTGCCCAGGACGCTGCTGAGGGTAAAGGCACGTGGGCAGCCGCTGCGGCCTGGTGCTCAGGAGGGGGGCGGACCTCACTCCCCTGCCTGCCGTGCAGCACACGCAGGTGGCTGGACTTCCCCAGGCCGCTTGCCCTGATTAGCAGCAGTGACTCAAATTTACTGACTTTTACAAGAACTTTTAGGCCCAAGAGTCCTACTTTCCCATCAGAAGGGGTGACTTAGGGTATTCCCGTCTACTCACAAATATGTCTGAGGCCCGGAAGCAGCTGCACAGCACTATCTCAGACCTGCGGCTGCCCTGTGTGGAGAGGGGACACGAGAGGAAAACGGGATTCTCTAAATTCCTGTGTTGTGGCAGTCTTGGATCAGAGCACACTGTGGCCCAGGGTTTGGAGAAGTGGCACTTCCTGTGTTCACTCACACTTCTAACCCTGGACTAAGTGGCGGTCCCACCGGGCAGGGCCACACAAATGCTCTGAGTGGCCTCTTTAGCTTCGAGGAGAAAGTGTCTTTGGCGCAGCGAGACTCCTGGAGACATCAGTCCCATTCACAGTGCCCTCTCCTTCCCTGACAACTGCCAAAGGGAGGCGACAGGCAGGGCTGCGTGGACTGTGTCACTCTCCTTCCCGGACGGTGACTGGACCTGGTACGAACAACTGTCACACTGGGCTCACCGGTTTCACTTTTCACACAAATCTGTACTGGGCCAAGAGATGAGTCTATTTCTGTAGTGGCTGGGACTTGTCACCTTGGGAGCTGCGGCTCAGAAAATCTGAATACCCATATGGGGAGTGGGTGGAGAGAGGCAGCCAGGAGAGGCAGAGAGGAGCGCTCCTGCTCTTAAATTCCTGCCCTTGAGACCCCTCTATCCCTGCCAGGGCTCCTGGATATCAGTGACAGACTCGATACAGGCTGGTCCAGCCCCTCTGGGGTGCTCCCCACCACCAGCCCATCTCAGGGCCTGGTCCTGCAGGGCTCCAAGGGTGGAAAACAGAGAGCAGGGGAGGGTTAGGGTTCGGGTTTGGTGTCACTCCTGCTGGTAGCTACCTCTGGGTCTTAGGGGGAAGCTCTGCACTCCCCATGGGACCCCTGGGTGGACAGGCCTGGCCCTGGGGCCGGGGGACTAGGGCGAGACAAAGGAGCTGCCCAGCACACAAACTTTAAGGCGGCCCACAATCCCAGCTCCCCAAGACTGTAGGGCTGCTCCTGACAGTGAGGACTCCTGGGCCTGACACTGCTCCCGGCCAGGACTGGCTTCTGGCTGCTTCCTGCACAGAATCCACGGAGAATCCCCTGAGCATCCACTGGGTCCATCCCGATGCATCTGTTTAACTGACTGATAAATCAGTAATGATGACAGAAAATACTTCTTGCATGCTAACCTTGCGCCAAGTACCTAGTCACTATGATTGCCCCATTCTAGGTCACACAGGGAGTAAGCAGCAGGGTTTGGACCCAAGTCTCCCGCTGCCTCGCTCAGGCCCCTTGAAGAAAGCTGCCGCCTGAATTTGAGAGCCACGGAAGCAGTAGGCATAGCAACTGTTCACGCCCCCAGGTCTCGAGAGAATGGAATCCCCAGCCCTGGAAGCTGCTGAAACTCTCAGAATTAGAACCTTCCCGTCCGTGTCAGTACCATCCCAGGACTCCTGGGAGCAGGGCAAACACTCAGGTGGGTGAGCTCATGAAGTCTTCAGAAAGAAAGCAGGGGCAGGTGATGTGACCATCTCTGTCTCGCAGATGGGGAAACTGAGACACCAAATGTGGAGCCAGGTGTCCACGTTCACACAGGCAGGAGGTGACAGAGAGGGTCAGGGCGCAGCAAGGAATGGAGCTGCAGTGAGAGCCCAGAGGAACCCAACCACAGCCTCCTGGAGCGGACTGAAACCCGTCCCCAGGCTTTGGAGCTACATGTGGACCCAGGCTCGGCCACCCCTCCCTGTCTGGGGCCAGGGGAAGACAGGTCCTTTTCCTCAGAATCCCCACCCATCCCCAAAAGACAGCTGCTGCCAAAAGCCTGGCACCATCTTGGCCCTGGGAAGCAGATTTTTTGATCTTTGTTTTTCAGCCAAGTGACAGTCAATCGAGGCCCCAAAACCACCCTGCAGATGACAAGAACCACAGAACATCGCCACGCAGGGGCTGGGGAACATGAAAGCCAAGGTCATGACAGGAAGGAGAGAGGGCATGCTCTCCTGTGACCCCAGGATGCCACCAGGGAGGTGCAGGCTGGATCCTGCAGGGGACCCAGGGAGGCAGCAGAGCGGGGGTCCTGCAGCGTGCCGGGTGTCAGGTGAGCTCATGGGTTTTATAAGATGCCACTGTGCCCGGAACACTTGGGCAGGGAATAGGGGTGCCTATGGCATTCGTGAGGGCCACCAGTGACAAGGGTGAGCACGAGTCCCCACCCTTTTCTAAGCTGCCCGCACCCTTGGCAGCTAACAGCAGTTAGCAGTGCAGTGAGGAGGCACAGGGTGTCTGTGGCTCATGCCCAGCTCTCAGAGCCCTTGGGGCACAGTAGTGCTGATCACTCTTACTATTACCCACCTCCGCCTCCGCCCACTGCCACCTCCGCAGCCAGACAAAGAGGAGGGAGCTGCAATGAAGGTCTCCTCTGCAGGAAACTGGTGCAGCCTCGCGCCCCTTTCCCAGGCCTGGTGCTCTCTGGGGCCCTCTGTCTGCATAGCACACCCTGTAGGCCGGAAGAGGCAAAAACCAGGATGGAGAGGTGAAGAACCGGGAAAGATTGTTCTTGGCAGAAGGAACAGACTGTGTCCCAGGCTTGGCTATGGGAGGAACCTAAGGAGCCCAGCTCACTGCTTGGAGCTGATCCAAATGCGGGGCAGAGGTCTGTAGATGAGAAAATAAAATAAGGGCCTCCTCGGGTCGCCTAGCTACGCCTGGCTAGACGGAGTTAAATAAAACTTTACTGGCGATTCCCCTGAGAAGCAAGTCAAAGATGGGGGTAGAAAAAGAAAAAGCAAACAGAAGAGAAACACCAAATGCCCTGGGGACTGGCCAGGAGGCCAGAAGAGCTGACAGCAGGACAGAGAAAACGCCAGGGGCACAGACGATGAGGCTCCACCTCCCGTAAAACACAGGGGAGCAAGGGGCTGCTGTACTCACACCTTGCACTGCCGCACACACTCCCACACATCTGTACTCAGCCTGGAGTCACTGTGCTACTCGCGCGAGGGTGGTACAGAGTACGACAGACACCCGCATGCCCCTTACAAACTCTGAGCTAACCAGAGTTTGACACCCGTCAC